GCACGGGGCCCGCCCGCCCCGCTCCGCAGGGGCAGAGGGGGAGGGGAACGAAGCTGCCCGCCGCCATTTTGCTTGTGGGCTGCCGCCCGCCGTTGCCTCTTCCACAGAGGCTTGAAGATAACCAACTGGAGGCAGAGAGGTGGGCAGAATCTCCGTCTTTTTCACAACAGATGCATTCAACAATTCACAGAAGGTTTGGGGAAGTTTCGGTATTTGGTGGGATTGGTTCTTTACCCCTTTTCCCTGAGCAGCCCTCAAGTGTGGATATCGGCGAGCTTGGGCACGCCACTACTGGGTGGAAGGATAAGGACTGTAGGCCCAGGGAACAACCGCCCCGTCCCCTCACCCTCCTAAAGCCATGCCCTTTCTCCCACTCCCCAAACAACCTCAGTCTCAGTCTTCCCCTCCCCCTCCCCAGTCTGGCCTCCAGCGCTGGGTGAACTCGGTTTGGGTGTCACTCGACGCCCACTAGGGGCTGAGGAGGCTCCAGTGCGCAGACTCCGGGCACCGGATAAAAGCGGAGCTGGAGCGTCCAGCGCCGTCTCGATGGAGGAGCGAGAAACGGAAGAGGTCGGGGGGAGAAGCAGCAGGAAAAGTACAGCCACCGTCAGCGCCGCTTTCCTGCCACCGTGTATCGGGGTAAAAAGCTGCTGTTGCCGTCGGTGCAGTTGCCGTCGCTGCCTCCTACTTCTTTTGGCCCCGGGGAAGGATTTCCCCGCCGGCGGGACAATATGCGGGGTGGGGAGCGGGAATTCCTTTATGTGGCGGTGATTAAACGAGGGAGGGACTGAGAGACGGCTATCTCGAAGAAAAAAGGGGGAGGTCAAAGAATAAAACAAGGGTTTCCCCACTAAAATAACACGGTGATCCCGATTCTTGTTTTCGGGGTCTTTCCCCCGAAATGGCGGTTTCCGTCTTCTCGCTCTACAGAGACCCGGAGCGCTTGGTAAGCCGAGTGGGGAGAGGCAGAGGCGGTCCGTGCAGCCAATCAGTGCCTGGTGTGTTCCGTCGGCGCGTCGTGATTGGCCAGCAATGACCTCATGCTGCAGCAGCGGGTGGGGCCAGAGCCGTCGGGGGAGGTTGTTGCAAAGGCAGAGAGGGAGAAGTGACGATGGTGATCGTTGCTGCCGCGGCTGATATGGAACCCAAGCAGTGGCGAAGAGAATCTCAAGGCTCTTCCCTGAGTATTTTCTCCTGTCCCTGCGCGAGGTGAGGGCCCCGGCTCGGCCTCTGCGAAACTTTGGGGCGCTGGCGCGGACGAGGAGACACACTTCCTCCCATGACTTTTGTAACTGCGTCAGGGCAAGATGGCGCTGGGTCTCCTTGGGGCGCGGGGGGAGAGGCACGTCCACCGCCGCCGCAGCGCATGTGACCGGGCTGCATTCCTGTGGGGTTTGGCTCCGACCCAGGCTGGGGCGGGGGAGGGGAAAGGGCTTGGGCGGAGGAGACTGTGGTGCGGTCGGCGTTGGCGGCCTGAAGAGGAAGAGATGACTGTTTGAGAGCGCTTCCCCTCCCCCAGATAGCTTACAGCTGCGGCTCCCGGGGGAAAGCCCCTGGAGGGACACTCACGGGGTGTGACGGCTGTTGGTGGAAGAGAAGGTTCGGTGCCCTATTTTCTTATCTACCTTTCTCCTTGCAAAGTGCTTACGTAAGGTGGCAGGTTCCTAATGTGGGAGTCGCAATCAACTGTGAGTCCCTGAGGGCCACTGGATGGAGTAAAAAGCAGAGACTAGCTAGGCCACAACCTCAAGAAGTATCCGTTATTTTCTGAGAAAACGTAAAGTTTCTCAGATTCCAGTAGAAAAATATTTCCTAAATTTGGAAGCAAGTGTAAAAGGTGTAAATAACACCCAGGAACACTTAAAATTTCCTAAAAGTTACCATCTGAATTTTGAGGACCCTTTTCAGGTTTTCTGTTCCTTCCCTCTGTACTTCTCATATCTTCCCTATCTGTATATTCTACAGGAATGTATAAACTTAGTGGATATGGTTTTCTTTTTAAATTTAGGCGTGATTAGTAATAAGAATAAAAGCTGCTAGTGCTGTAATCTATATGAAGTAAGGGTGTTTTCAATACTTCTGTCTTTCTGTCACCCTCTTAACTATGGTTTTTAAAAATAAAAAATGAAATCACTTTCGGCAAATGTTATTAAGATTCCTGCACCATTATGAAGCCTACCTCTTTAAATCACTTCTGTAGAAGTATGACTTTTAATTTTCGAAACCTTGTTAGTTGACGGTCTTTAGTTGGAAAGTTTTTAAGTAGCCTGTATTGGTAGATTCTGTAATAAATACTAGTTTTGTTTTTGATTATTCTCACTTAGCCAAACACGCATAGTAGCCATTAACTAGTGAAAATTCAAAAGGCTTCTCGCTTTGGGTGGTGTTGAGAGCCGGGAGTTACACACAACAAAGACATTTGCACGGAAACATGGCTTGCTTTTTGACAGAACGCACCTCGTGCTAGGAGGAAACGTTTGCTGGACCTGAAAAGATGGGTTTAACTCAGGTCAAGGTTATGTTATTTCCTTTAGTGTTAGTTGTAGACTTGGTAGTTTGAAAAGATTTTTTATTCATTTGTTTATACTTAAACCCTTGCTAGTTTTTGTGGCTTTCTTTTTCAGTGAAGTAACAATACGAACTGAAAAGCCTGTAACTAAAGTGTAAATAAGTAGTACAAAGAGTTTAGAGTTCAGAGTTTTTTTTGTGTTGGTGCATTGTGATTAGAAAATGGGCATCTTTAACCTCGAGGATTTGTTTGTCACGTATAAGTTGTGTCTCCCTTAACTGTCATAGCAACTTTTATTTTGGCTCAGGAAAAAGGGACCAAATATGAAGTCACGTTTTTAAGGTAATTTTCATAGTCTTCCTAGCTTCACTCTGCCTTAATAAGGAAGAGAGGCCATTTTTCAAGCTAGTAGAAACATCCTTGTTTTTGTCTTTTTGGTCAGCATGTCCACATTATTCCTAATTGCCAGATCTTGAGCTCTAGTTTTTCTTTTGCCACATTCCTGTGGCGTTTTAAATACTTGGAATTATTTCTTTGACTACCTTCTTGCGTTATATGTTCTCTCTGGGCAATTTCATCTGTGCCTATGACTCCAGCAAAGCCTCAATTTTTATCTCATCTGTTAATGCATGTTAAGTATACAAGGGGGCCCACAGGCTTCTAAACTCTCGTAAAAAATACTGAGCTTGGAACTAGATTCCAGAGAACTTTGTTCAACCATTCCCTCAAAAAATTTTTGCTTCTCATGCTCTTTCATTATTTGAGTAAACCATACCACCCCCAGCCTTCCTATATTTTTTATTCAAATCATCATCTCTGGTATAATTGGAAGTTTTATAATCGGCTTCAGGCGGCAGACATCCCCTAATGGATAAAATACATAGGTAGAGCTGTTTCATAGTTTGTGTCTTTGTCCACACCACCCGAAGTACTTCTTCCCACTCCTGGGTAACTTGAGACTTTGCCTCCTGAAACTTCCAAATTCTTGCTCCCAAGTCCTAGGATCCATTCTTTACATAATCACCCAGCCCAATGCCTGGTTGGCATTCAGGTGTACAAGTTTTTTGCGTGTGTGTGTTTAGGGGATAACACTCTACTAATAAACTGCAGTGCAAACTGTAAAACATAGCTTTCACACTTTTTCAAAAACACATTTGACCCACCAGGGTTTGATGAGTAAATGAAGTAGATTAGGAGGCTCACAGGCCAGGTTTCCTCCCCTTTGACTTACATAAGAGAGGAGACAGGGGACTGCTGATGGGATACTTCTGCCTCCAGAAAAATGGGAAGGGAAAAACTGGCCTTATTTTTCAACATCGTATTTCTCAAATCTAGAGGACATTTTAACCTACAACCTTCAGTATATAAACACCAATGATTATTTGGGTTTATAATTCCTTGATGTGTTTGGGGCTTATCAAAGTACTTAGTACTGCTTGCTCTGATACTAGAGGACCCAATTTTTTGTGCCCTTGAGTTTAGTTTTTGTCATTTTTCTTTCTGTAGTTTATAAGTGTCCATGTGCCAGCCTCTGGTACCTACATGTGTTTTATGTATCATGAGATTGGCATTCCAGTAATAGGGCTGATTAAAATTGCATGTTAAATGAAGCTCCTCAATAAGAATTTTTTTAAGATTTTATTTATTTATTTGAGAGAGCGAGAATGAGAGTACGTGAGAGGGGGGAGGGTTAGAGGGAGAAACAGGCTCCTCGCTGAGCACGGAGCCTGATGCGGATTCGATCCAGGGACTCCAGGATCATGACCTGAGCCGAAGGCAGTCGCTTAACCAACTGAGCCACCCAGGCGCCCCTCCTCAATAAGAATTCTAAGGGTCAGATTTGAGCTTTATAAACATTGGTGACCCTTTTGTCTGCTGTTAAAGCTTTTGGGGTATTTTTGAATAGTGATTGTCTATGTTTTGAAGCTCAAGTTCAAAGTAAGAAAATATTCGAAATTATATGGGACTTCACTGGATTTTATTTTTATGTGGAATTTTCCTCTGCCCCACCCGACTTTAGTGTTGTCTACATGTAGAATGAAAAGATTTATGTCTGAGAATTGAACTTAAACCATTAAATATACCTTAAAATGTTATGGTTAAACATACCACCTGATTAGTTTAACTTCCTGAAAAATGAATTTAATGCTATCTCGTTCTTCCTGGGCAAGGTGTTATTTATGTTAACACTAAACCTGAAATTCATATTTGGAAAGATCCTCAAAAATTTCCAAGGTTGTGGATACCTTGAATCAACTTGATTCTTAAGAAAAAGATAGGTTTATTCCTGAGTATTCAAAAAACATTTTGAAAGTTAACTGCCTTCTGCTATTCAAAAAGATCAGGCCTAGGGGTGCCTGGGTGGCTTAGTTGGTTGAGCGTCATTGAGTAGCATGGCTTCTTGGGTTCGGCTCAGGTCATGATCTCAGGGTCGTGGGATCGAGCCGCCCCTCCCCCTGTACAAGAGCGCACTCACGCACTCGCTATCTCTTTCTCTCTCAATCAGTCTTTAAAAAAGAAAAGGGGGGTGCCTGGGTGGCTCAGTCTGTTAAGCGTCTGCCTTTGGCTGGGGTCTCTCAGATAAATAAAATCTTAAAAAAAAAAAAAAAAAAGATCAGGCCTGTAGTCTCCCTGTTAACTGTTCAAGTTGGAAACATCTTTAAGTACGGGGTTTGGTTTGGAAAATAGAGAAACTAATAGTATTCTTCCACCTGAATGAAGCAAACAGAAAGCTAGCAAAAGCTTACAGAGCCCACCGTACTGTTCTCTGGAATGATTTAACAGTAGATGTAGAAAATGGGCTCCTTAATATTCATTGTGAATTGTAAACTTTAATATCAAATGTAAAAATGGAGCCAATGAAGAAGAGCTGAGAAATTTATTGGAGGTCCTTTCTTTGCTCCTAGTGAGTGGTAATTTACAGAATAAAATTTCTGAATGTATCTAGTTTCCCTACTCTGCTTGTCCTATTTAGGGCGTGTGATTGTGTTTTGTCGTCTTAAAAGTATTTTATGGCCTTTTCCATTCGGTGCCTCTGTTTGCCATAAGCATTGAAGTATGCAGAGTTTATCTTATAAAAGAAAATTGGATTTGGGTTTTTTTTCCGTTCCTTTGTTGTAAGTACATCACAGAACACCAGTATGGTCAGCCTTGTCTTTTTGAGGTACAGAATATACCTTCACTGAACAACTATCTTTTAAACAGTACTCTTCCTATTAACTGGTCGTCGACCTAGAGTAAATGATATTTCATACAACTAAAATTTAAATCGAGTTAAATTCTATAGAAATTTATTCTAAGATTATGTCACTTTAATATTTCTTATCTTCAAAAGTATTTTTAAGAGTGCCCCTCCTAAAGTATGTTGATATTTGTGTCTCAAATTTAAAACTATAATCTGGTTTTCCCCTCTGATTGCTTTGTTCCTGGGACAGATTGGAACTCCAGCTCTAATTTGAATAAAATAATTGGCATTCCTACCGTATTTAAGATGCACAAAACATAATTCCCAGCCCTTACATTTTCAGTTAGGTTGGCAAGATAAACTACTTGGTGATTAGAACTTCTGAAGCGTTTATGTCTGTTTAAATGTTTACTTGCTAGTTTCTCCCAACCTTTATTTCTACGTTTTTAAATTTAGCTCAGTTTTAATGCCATTTCCATTTCTTTTTGTATAGGTTGGTTTGTTGCTAACAGTTAACCTCAAAGAAAGGAAAGATCACTGCTTAATAAGTGAGGATATAACAGATGGAATTAAGGATTTAGGAATAACAAGAGTTTTTGTTTTAAATTAGTAAGGTAAGTTGTACTGGGTCACTTACACTAGTTTAGCGAGAGTAAAGAGAAAGTCATAATTTAAGCACTCAAAATCTTTAACTGCTAGTGAATCCCCTCGCTCCCAAAAAGGATTCATTTAATTTTTAAAGGATTCTTTAATCATCCATTTGATGTAACATCTTATCCTTTTTTTTTTTCATTTGAAAATATAGTTTAAGGAAAATTGTTTTTTTAAATTTTACTATGTTAATCACCATACATCATTAGTTTTTGATGTAGTGTTCCATGATTCATTGTTTGCATATAACACCCAGTGCTCCATTCAGTATGTGCCCTCTTTAATACCCATCACCGGGCTAACCCATCCCCCCACCCCCCTCCCCTCTAGAACCCTCCGTTTGTTTCTCAGAGTCCATAGTCTCTATCGTTCGTCTCCCCCTCCGATTTCCCCCCCTTCATTTTTCCCTTCCTGCTATCTTTTTTTTTTTTTTAAACATGTATTATTTGTTTCAGAGGTACAGGTCTGCAATTCAACAGTCTGACACAATTCATAGCACTCACCATAGTACATACCCTCCCCAATGTCACCCAGCCACCCCATCCCTCCTACCCCCCACCACTCCAGCAACCCTGTTTGTTTCCTGAGATTAAGAATTCCTCATATCAGTGAGGTCATATGATACATGTCCTTCTCTGATTGACTTATTTCGCTCAGCATAATACCCTCCACTTCCATCCACGTCGTTGCAAATGGCAAGATTTCATCCCTTTTGATGGCTGCATAATCCATTGTACGTATGTATACCACATCTTCTTTATCCATTCATCTGTCGATGGACATCTTGGCTCTTTCCATAGTTGGACTATTGTGGACATTGCTGCTATAAACATTGGGCTGCACATACCCCTTCGGATCCCTACATTTGTATCTTTGGGGTAAATACCCAGTAGTGCAATTCCTGGGTCGTATGGTAGCTCTATTTTCAACTTTTTGAGGAACCTCCATACTGTTCTTCAGAGTGGC